ACAACCATGTGAACAAGCTGGATTCCGAAAAGGATTCAGTACCATCGACCATATCCACACAATAACCAAGCTCATTGAGGTATCTCGGGAGTTCAAGATGCCGCTCTGTCTAACGTTCATTGATTTAAAGAAGGCCTTTGATTCTGTTGAGACGGAAGCGGTCATGGAAGCCCTAGCCAATCAGGGCGTACAAACTCAATACATCAGGATCCTTCGTGAGCTCTATTGCGGATTCACTACCAAGATCTCACCCTTCTACAAAGAAGTAATCATCCATATCAAGAGAGGGGTTCGGCAGGGTGATACCATTTCACCAAAACTCTTCAGTGCCACCCTCGAGAACATCATGCGACGACTAGAATGGGAAAACATGGGAGTGAAGATAGATGGTCGGCAACTACACCACCTCCGCTTTGCTGATGACATCGTTTTAATAACACCAAACATCAGCCAAGCGGCACAAATGCTTGCGGACTTTGACCGTGAGTGTGGAAAGGTTGGACTACAGCTGAATCTTACGAAGACAATGTTTATGAGAAACAGCCTTGTTCCTGACGCTCCATTCACTCTCAACGGAACCACCATCTCCGAATGCAACAGTTATATATACTTAGGTCGAGAAATCAACATGATGAATGACCTGGCACCTGAGTTACGCAGGAGGAAGAGAGCGGCTTGGAATGCCTTCAAGAGCATTGAAGAAATAACTAAAAGGACAAAGAACCTCCAACTACGAGCACATCTCTTTGATTCCACTATTCTTCCTGCATTAACATATGCCTCAGAGACCTGGACCCTACGAAAACAGGATGAGAACACTATTCGGGTCTCTCAAAGAGGAATCGAAAGAACTATGCTTGGAATATCACGATTCACTCAAATGAGAGATAGAATCCGGAGTTCTGATCTTCGTCAACGCTCAAGAATCAGAGACGCTGTCTCATTTGCCAAGACATCAAAAATCAGATGGGCTGGACATGTAATGAGGTTTACAGACAACCGCTGGACTAGAGCCATTACTGATTGGATTCCACGAGACATCAAAAGATCACGTGGACGCCCACCTATAAGATGGTCAGACTTCTTCGTCAAGACCCTAAATGATCGGTTTGAGGCTCTACATGTTCCTAAAACGAACAGATACCATTGGGCTACGCTAGCACGCAACCGGGATGAATGGAGACGTTACTGGCACCCGCTCGAATAAATCGATGAATAACGGGGATTAAGTGATTAAGTGATTAAGTGATTAAATTCATAAAAGTAGGACGACCCAAAGAAGTTCCTAAGTATTGGGTGATGGACCACATGGTGGCAACATGAAAAAAAAAAAAAAGTTCCTTCCCAGCATACCGGCGAGAAATAGAAAAGACATATAGCAAAAGCAGAAAAGTGAGTGGTGATCTTCCAGTACCAGGAATGGTGAAGAAACCAGTATGAAATGCTGGAAAGGAACAACTCCAGAGTGAGGACATGAGAGTCCCATTCACTTACGTAAATTAGACAGAAGGGGGCTGAGAACAGAAAGAGCTAGATTGAAAGTCCACAATCTTACATAATCAGTTCTGGACCAACAAGCAGTCTTAATGTTGGAGCATTTAGTGTAGCAGGAGCATAAGAATCCACATAAGACATGAGAACTTCACCAGAAGATCAGGTCACATGCCAGTCAATAACCACAAAAGTATGTGATTCCAAGAGTTCTTGTTGCGCGCGTGCACGCACACACACACACACACACACACACACACACACACACACAGAGCAAAGCAGTGAGTTTTTTTTAATTTTTTTTAATTTTTATTTTTTTAGAGCATTATAAAGCTGTTAATGATTGGATTTCAGTCATACTGCATTTCAACACTGATCCCTCCACCAGTGTACATTTCCCAGCACCAGGTTCCCTCCCATCACGCCCCAACCTATACCCCCTGCCTGTTTCTTTGGAAGCACTTTTTCTCTCTCTTTCTCTCTCTCTCTCTCTTTCCTTCTGGGCATTGGGGTTTGCAATATTGATACTGAAAGGTTGAAAGGTTATCAAGAATATAGCTTATCTTAACCCTCCATATCTTGTCCAGCATGATCATTCCCAACTATTACTGCAATAGTGGTATTTTCTCTATCTTTCCCACCCTCAGCCCACATACACTTATGGTTAGTTCTAACCATTGACCAGTCCTCCTAACCCCTGTTTATCCTGGCCGTGGATATTTTTCTTCTATATATATATATATATATATATATATATATATATAATATACCACAAATGACAGCAGTCATTCTATATCTGTCCTTTTCCTTCTGACTCATTTCACTCAGCATGATACTCTCCATGGCCATCCATTTATAGGCAAATTTCATTACTTCATTTTTCTTGGCAGCTGCATAGTATTCCACTGTGTAGATGTGCCACAGTTTCTTTATCCATTAGTTTGTTGTTGGGCACTCAGGTTGTTTCCAGATTTTGGCCATGGTGAATAGTGCTGCAATGAATATAGGAGTGCAGATGGTGTTTCTGCTGTGTACTTTTTGGCCCCAAGATATATTCCCAAAAGTTATAATGCTGGGTCAAATGGGAGCTCAATTTCTAGTGTTTTGAGAAATGTCCATATTGTTTTCAAAAAAGACTGGGCCAATCAGCATTTTCACCAACAGTAAAGGAGAATACCTTTCTCCACACATCCATGCCAACACTGGTTGCTTTTGTTCTTTTGGAGGTGTGCCAGTCTCTGTGGTGTGAGATGATATCACATTGTTGTTTTGATCTGCAACTCTCTGATTATTAATGATGAAGAACATTTTTTTCAGGTGTCTTTTAGCCATTTGAATTTCTTGAGAAAGTTTCTGGTTCATTTCATTGCCTCATTTTCTGATGGGATTGAATGTTCTTTTCTTGTATATCCTTTGTGATAGGACTAGACACATGGGATTTGGGCTTTTTGGGTCACACCCAGCATCACTCAGAGGTTTATCGGGCTCTGCACTTAGGAATTAATCCTTACAGGAATTATTCTCTGGCGGTACACAGGGAAGCATATGGGATGCCCTTTAGGTTCTCGGTAGCAAGTTCCATATCTGTTCTGCCTTAATGTCCCTCACAATGCCTATGAGGTCAGTGTATTTATTAATCATAAAGTCATAAAAAAGTACTTAGGTTTTAAAGGTAGTTCTACTCTTTGTATAAAAGCTGATATTTTGTAGCATAGAAAAATAAATGACCAGGCTGAAATGTCTTTGGATGTATCAGGATACTAATATTTGAAGTGGCCCTATTCATTCTGAGATAGAAGGAACAATATACAAAGAACACTGAGCAGCCAGGCAGTTTATGATAGCTGCTCCGAGTCTGCAGAGATGACAAGAAAAAAAACAACTCATTTTGTTTTTGCTGAAGAAACATATGACATTCATCAGCATAATTTTATGAGAGATAATTTTAAGAATCCCACATTCTTAAAGAAAAACCTAGTAATTGTTTTTTATTTATTCTAAATTACAAGGGAAAATTTATTACTAATTCCTCAATTATTTCATTATGCAGCACTAATAAAAAAAAGTCCTGACATCTCCATTATGTTTAGCAAAGAATCACTTAATTTAATAAATAATTTTTGACTGAAGTGATTATTTACTTAAAACATAGAATATGTAGAAGGAACTTCAAATCATATTTTTTTCTGGTGCCATATAATAAAATAATTGTGCAATTAGTAATAAACAGCATGCAAGGATGACAAATGTTTTATTTAAAACTTGGAGAACAAAAGCACATCACTTGTGCTTTTTTTGCAAGCGAACAAAATTCTACGGCATATTAATCAAAGGGGCTTTTTTTATGCCTCTGGCAGTAGTGTTTTAAAATAAACCCTTAATATCAGATCCCAATCCCCAGTTTCAATTTGCTTTCAATGGGAAGGACATTAGAGTTTATAAAATACTCCTTGATTACTTTTTTGAAGGCCTGAAATCTTGACATGTCCGTGACTTGCTCACACAGCATCAATATACAGTGGTTGAAAGAGCAATACCCATCGTGAACATTGCCACATTGACTTATAGAATCATGCCCTTGAGAAAAAGCCAGAGAGAAAAAAGGAGCACCAGGCAGTGACAAAAATGAAATAGAACTGTCATCTGGCAGTTCTTCATAGTCCGTCAAGGAAACTATTAAAGATGTACAAAGAGCCAGAGAGTGCTTGGGCAAAGGTTGTTAAACCAGCACTTCAAGGGCAGGTCACTGCAGGCTATGTAAGACTCAAGAGAAAGACCAAGCATCCCTCACGGAGGCTGCACTGAGCAAAAGGTATGGAGCTTTTCCTCTCCAGGCAATCAGAGATGACGGACTTAAACTAAATACTAAATTGTAAATTGATTGTCAAGTATATTTTTTTTCTAGTGGCAGATTTCATGAAGATCATCTTTGATCTAATTCAGTAAATGTATTAAGCACCCATGCCATGTTAGTTAAACCAGGTGAAAACATTTCTGTGCCCATTGCTATTTTGCAGCCACTTGCCAATTATTTAATTCCTCTGAACTTCAGTTTCCTTCTCTTTTATTCCTTCTACACATAGGAACTTTGAAATCAGAACTAGCCCTTGGCTTTCCCTCTTCATCATCATCATCTTCTTCTTCTTCTCTTCCTTCTTCTTCTTCTTCTTCTTCTTCTTCTTCTTCTTCTTCTTCTTCTTCTTCTTCTTCTTCTTCTTCTTCTTCTTCCTCCTCCTCCTCCTCCTCCTCCTCCTCCTCCTCCTCCTCCTCCTCCTCCTCCTCCTCCTCCTCCTCCTCCTTCTTCTTCTTCTTCTTCTTCTTCTTCTTCTTCTTCTTCTTCTTCTTCTTCTTCTTCTTCTTCTTCTTCTTCTTCTTCCTTGCAATAGTTTTCTTATAGTATGTTCTACTATTCCTTATGTGTCCCCTCCTTTGAGAGTCTCCTAAACTCTAAGTCCATTAGGACAAATATTCATTATTGATCAACAGTTGGTAGGAATGAAAGAAATAGCATACTCTGGTTTCTTCTCAGATCATATCAATTTTTTACCTTTTTTAAATGTTTCCTTGGAGAAGAACACTTGTGAGTTTTAACCAATTTTTTGGAGGCCTTGTGCTTGCAAGGCTAATAAAAATAAAGAAAAAACTGCTTTTTATGGAGATCAAGGGAGAGTTCAGAAAAAATTTCCCCCAGTTCACCCTTTTTTCTGTGAATACATGTGTACACACACAACACACAAACACACAAACTCACACACACATTCTACCCTGAAATTACACACAGTCCAGAGTTTGAAAAGGCATTGTTTCTGAGGCATTTGTGTATCCTTCAGAATATTCTGATAGTCAGAATTATGTGTAGGAAAAAAAGGAGCAGATGATAGTACATTCTAAAGGGAGATTTCTGGAAAATATAAAGTCCTTTTTTTCATCTTACCAATAAATATAGATCCAAATCTCAAATTTAAGAAACTATCTAAGAGCCATTTATTACTGAATTTGGCATATTAATTTGGTCTATTTGGCATAGATTAAGTGATTAAGTGATTAAGTGATTAAGTGATAAGTGATCTAAGAGCCAGAATGATAATACAAAGGGTGGCAAACTTGCCTTGCATTGCAGTTGACCTGGTTTCAATCCCCAAAATCCCATATGGTCCCTGAGCACCACAAGGAGTAATTTCTGATTGTAAAATCAGAAATAATCCTTGATTGTCACTGGGTTTGTCCCCAAGCCAAAAATAATAATAAATTCTGTTTAAAAATAAATGATCTAAAAATTAGAATAAGCTCAAATATTGGACTTTGCAAACTATCTCCAATAAGCATACTTTGTCCCTAAATTTCCGTATATTTGGGAGTTTTAAATAATAAGGCATCTTGAATATGCAACAGAAAAATATAAATAAACTTATACAAATTAAAGGATTACATTCTGTTAGAATTAAATCCTTAAAATTATACCATGTCCTGAATAATTTTTGGCTTTTATTATAATGGAATTTTCATCTTTAGCCCCATTAGTTTAGAGGGGTATTTCAGAGATATTTCCTTCATGATTCTTATCCAAAGAGTGTACTCTAGACTTATATATTACTATACTTTAGATTTATAGCAATAATGATTTTTACAGCTTTACTAATTTCTCGTGCAGATGGGACATATTCCTTTGGTGATACCAAGCATACTCCATTTCAACCGAAAAGATTTTATGTCTCATAACATTAGAAGGTGTGTTGTAGAATTCAATTTACAAACTTGGCTACAGTCATAACTACAACAAATAATATAATAACCAAAGCATCAGTTATAAAAGCATAATATAAAATGAGTAATTTCCTGCTGAAGGGCAGGTATGAAAACCTGCTGTAGAAAGCATTTTGTTTTTCTTTTGGGCAGATCATCAGGGACTATCATTACAATTGTCACTAAATTCTTTTACCAGACTGAAAGCTGTGCATTCTTACAAAAGAAACTGATTCAGCCTTCTGGAAATTTGCTTTTCAAATGGGATGAGAGAAAATACTATTTAACACACAGATCATAGTTTTTTTAAGGTAATTCTTTTAAGTGTGTGTGTATGTATGTGTTTGTATGTGTTCAGTCCACAGGCCATTGCCAGCTATAAGTTCTTTTTCTGCTAAAACAGCCCAAGACAAATTGTTCATGAGGGTTCACTGTGAACAAAACAAGGTTAGACAGATTGGAAATTAGAAAAATTACAGAGAATTTTGCTCATTTCACAAAGCTGAACTTTTGTAGGGATAATAGTCTTACCCAGTTCTTCATTATGCTAATAAAATGCATGTATGTGGTAAAAATAATAATGGGAATAATGAGAAGGATAAAGAGCAGAGACATGTACTAAGCAAATATAGTGTGAATAGGATAAAATTTTTGAAGAATTCTGTTAGATGAATTCTGTTCTTCTTTCCTTTTTGCAATGTGCAAACAAACACCATTCTGGGGTCCATAATCATTAAAGTTGCACAGCTAGGATTTAAATCCTGGAATCTTATTCCAGGGTTTGGTCTCCATTCCTGTTCCCTTTGCTCTCTGTTCCTGTTCCTGCAAGTTGGAGATCCAAGAAATGCTCACACAGAGGAGGTCCTGAATGTGAATGTAGAGCACTGAAGATTGATATACACTATAGTATATAGACAAACTAAAACCAAGAATTTGCTGTTAATGGTGTAATGTGGACAGTAGCAGTAAATGTGATTTATAAAAGAAGAGAGTAAGGAGAACAAGGATTAGGGTACAGAGAGGTAATAACTATGAAAATATAAATGTCAATAAACTGGAAATGAGAAAACGCACAGTTCAAATGGAATGGGGAGGGGTGACAGAAGGAAAGAGAAGAAAGCAGAAGGGGAAGAAGAAAAAGAGCAAGCTGCGGAGGAGGGAGAAAAAAAGAGAAGAGGATTAGGGGATGGAAGAGGAAAAAAAAGAGAAAGTTAAGACAAACCCCTAACTCTCAGGAATAAGAGGAAACAGAACTGTTTTATTGACAGAGATAGGGAAAGGTAAGGAAAACGTTGTCAGTTTAACAGTTTTAATGAAATAGGCAATGCAAAATTTATAGAATCTTGGTCAAGGATGACAATTTTCAAAAGAGATGGAGAGAGGCCCTCTTAAACTACTCTAAGACCTGATGTAGATGAAAAATGACATGAATAGCAACAGATGTTCTCCTTTATAACATTTTTTTTTCAAAATACCAAAATGGATTAGAAATGTGCAAAACAAAAGAGTCAAACTAACCCAAATTCTTCTAATTCTCTAACTACAGTAACAGGACTGTAACCAATTTTACTTTTTCAGTTGAAAAAGGGGAGAATAATTTTATCCAGACGAGTATTTCCATCTTTCAGCCTATGAAATATAATATTGTAGAGTTGCTCTAACTAAAAAGCCAAATTTCAGTTGGCTATTGAAACATTTGGCTATTGAAACAATGGATACGAGAAATGTTTTTGGGACCTTTATAACAAAAATAAAATGGTGCAGATTTTTCACAATTCATTAATTTAAAAATATTTAAATTATTTGTCTCCTAGTTATTCTATTTTATATCTGGCACCTGCCACTCTTCATCTGTAAGAGATTCTGGCATAAGATGGCATCTGATTTAGCACAAAATGGTACATTACACAATTTTAGCTTTATATGTCAACATTTTTATGATGTTCAGTAAATGCCATCATGACTTCCAGATGTTTCACCACCTGAATCAGATTTAAATCATGGTAACATTTTTTGATACAGATGCTTGAGAAAAAGAGAGTAGCATATATGTTTAAATATATCAGCTCATCTCACGCTTAAAGAATAGCTTCTTTCTAGCCAGGTTGCTAGCTTTGAAATGCACTTAAAATACCCCTTTCAATTGGAATGGTATACCTTTCTCTTCCTAGGGACCACCAATGGGAATAGTAATGTCCAGTGACATAAATACTACTGGTAGACAGAAGTAAAGACTCAATTAAGCAACTTCCAAATAAACATTAGGCTAATTTGTGTGAGGTAAGTTATTACAGAGGTTGCACGGAAGTGGTAACTTTAGAGCAGCCCTCAATAAGCTTAGAGCCATGTTACCAATGTGCCAAATAAATTTGCCCAGATTAATTTAATACAATATTTAAAGAGATCTTATATTTTTGAAAATATAGAGAATTATGCATTTTATAATACATTCTGAATAGGAGAATCATGAATAAAAGGGAAAAATAAATATACTAGGATTTTTTTAAAGGAAGATATTCTACTCTACCTTCCCATGTATTTGTTACCTAATACTATTTTGTTACCTTTCCTGTTGCTTTATATACTGAAATACACATCACTGCTTTTATTATTGTTTTGGGTTAGTACTACCTATATAATACTCTATATGCTAAAAATATACTAAGGATAAATTCTAAAGCGTATTCACAACATCTTTGTATCTTTCTCTTAAACTGAGACTGAGTAAGAAACACAGTAAGGACTCAATAAATGTTTAATTTGTAAAATAGTTAACTAATAGTAAAATATCATTTCTGGTCAAGCATAAAGCTATTATCCACCTATGTATACATTACATAGAATTTCCCAAAGCAAATGCCATAAAATATTAATTCAGTCAGAGACACTACTAGCAAGGAAGAGGGAGGTAGTTTCTGAATTGAAATGTATTTGGAGAACATATGTTCTCATACTCTCATCCTGTTAGATATTCATTATGCATGTTAATATTAAAGATTCTAAAGGTGGTTCTTTTGAAGCTACCACATAGTTAAGAAATCTATATTTTGAAAAAAATTCTACCTTTGCTACAATGTAAATTGAAGCTTCATAAAATATCCATCTGATTTACATTTTATTGGTGAATATGTTATGTTAAATAATGGTGATTCAGTAATATTCAAGAAACACAAAAATAACAGAGCTCAGTAGTACAGATCAGTCTTTTTTGGCTTTATAACATTCACTATTTAACATAGATTACTGATTTAAATTTTTTTTTAAGTAACAGGAAATATCAAAAGAGAAAGTTCATGACACTCCATTTACAGTAAGTACCTCACATGTAACAGTAAATTCATCTTGGCACTCTTAAATAGTTTGAACAATGACAATTATATATCCAATTTACACAAGTACACTGAGGCCATACCAATAGCATATCAACTTTCTGTTTTTTTAGGTTTTATTTTTTTGACCATGCGATTTTCAGGACTTCTGTGCTTCAGGATTACTCAAGGTGAAGCTTGGGGAAGCCTCTGTGGTTCCAGGGATTGAACCCAGGTCAGCTGCATACAAGGCAAATACTTACTTGCTGTACTATCTCCAAGCTCCTAAGCTTAAATAAGGTGTTTTCATAAATCAGCTATAAAAAATACAAAACCAAGAACATCACTTCTTATAAACTATATGAGGACAATTACATTTAAGCTCTGCTTTTGTGATTGAGCTACTTAGAGAACTTTTAATTATCTTTAGATTTCTGGACATTGGATATATTACATACAAATATTAGAACAAGTTATAACTTATTAATACTGATGCAAGTGATTGTGGATCATGAGGCTTGATATTTCCCTGAATGAGATAAGATAAAAAAATAGATTTTAGATGACTAATTG